CCTGCTGGCCCGGCCTGGCATCTGCTGCTGGCACGATCTCTTGGCACGGTAAAGCATGTTTGACGAATCTGAAGCGCCTTCGCGATGCTTGCGCACGCATTGGCCGTGCACGACGACCGCCCCCCCCAGTGCTGCTCGGTGCCCATTCACCACCAACGCCTGTTGGGCGGCGACTGGCTCTGCGAGTCTGCGACTGTCTCTGGCACTGGCACTGACACTGGCATTGTCACTGCACACACTGCAGGCTGGTGGCAGTCAGCGAGCCGCTCAGTTGCAGTTGCCCCCGCAAATAGCACCTGGCCTCCGTGGCACTTGCACTTGCACTTGCACCTGCCTCCCAGCGCTGAAAGGAGCAAAGGAGCGCAACTGCCGACCAGCGAACCAATATGGCTTCCCAACTCGGCGATGTGCCCCTGCTCGTTCGCTCGGAGAACTCGTCGTCGGAGCGCCGCGTCACACCGTCATGGACCATCACGCAGCTGAAAGCCCGGCTCGAGCCTGTGACTGGCGTGCCTGCCACCTGCCAGACGTTGACCTTGACCGTCGCATCGCAGCCGCCGCAAGTCATCGAGGCCGCGGATGAGGATACGACGCAAATAGCGCGATGGCCGCTGCAGGCTTATGCAGAGCTGCAGGTATGTCATGTCTCACACTCCCGCACCCACCCTCCACTACCCTATCCTATCCTATCCTCTACATATCACTTTCTCCCATCCTGGACCTTGCCGTGTCTTTCGTGCCCTGGCAGCGCTGTCCAGCATGGCAAGTTCTTATACGCAGATCATTCACGTCGCCGCCGCATTGGCCCGTCACAGCACACGTGAGAACACACGAGATGACATGCGGCACAATCCCATCTCGGTGCTCTCGCTTCTTTCAGCACCTACGTCCGTCTACTGATCACTCCAATGCCAGGTTATCGACACCAGGCCGCCGGGCGCGCGCACGAATTACAATGACGTCTCAGCTGTGCAGAAGTACGAGATGTCAACCAGTGACTACGAGCAGCGCACGGACAGTGTGCTGGCATGGAAAAAGACCAACAAATTAGGTCGATTTGACCCTGATGCGCCTGGCATCGAGCAGCAGAAAGTTGATGCTTCGTTCCGCGAAGTCGAGCAGCGCAACATCAAGCAGGGCGCACGCTGTCGTCTGCTGCCAGACTCGGACCATAGACGAGGCACCGTCCAGTATGTCGGTCATGTTCCTGAGATTCCTGGCGGAATAGGTGCCTGGGTAGGAGTCACCTTAGACGAACCTACCGGCAAGAACGACGGCAGTGTCAAAGGCAAACGCTACTTTGAGTGCCAGCCAAACTTCGGAGTCTTCGTGCGACCCGAGCGTATCGAGGTCGGAGACTTCCAAGTGCTAGATGAGCTAGCCGACGAAGAGGAGGAGTTCTGATCGAATCAACGATCACTTCAAACCTTGCAATTACCAGCTGCGAATTCCCTAAGGACCAGCACCCTGAAAATCGCTTCGGAGAGAGCTGGAGTCTCAGAGCTTCCATTTCGAAGGTACCCAGCCTTAAGCCTAGCATTTCCCTGCATGCCAACTTCAGCCTTTCGCGCCACGCATGGCTGCTTAAACAGGAGGCCGCCGCCACCAGCTTTCCAGACCGACAGCAGAAGCCTGAGTCAATCGCCTCACTCTGTTCCCTTAGCCCACATGCAATGCTAGCGTATGCAAGTGCAACTCGCACCCTCCTTCATTTCTTGATCTCTTGCAGATCGCCCACCCATGATCCTATGTCTCAACGCTTCTCTTATTACTTCTGCAGAACCAGCAACAGGTATCAAATGCCGAGCAATCGGAGTATGCAGTTGACTCAGATGCACATCCCATCGCAACATCAAAGCTACTGCCAAGATTCTGGTACCCAGCTAGAGCATGTCAGCATTTCAACCTCCCAGCCGGCTTCCGTGAAGCAGGCTTTATGTGAACTCAACCAACTACAGACGCGCTCTGGGCCCTTGATGGTCCAAGTTCCGATCTATAGTAAGAACTCTGCGTGTTCGTCAACGTGCATTAGACTCCAGCCACGACACGTTTTGCAAAATAGAATAATACGAGACTCTAAGAATAATGCCGAGTGGCCAAAACTTCCGCTTCTCGATGCAGACACCTTACTCGTCGTTCATCGACTCTGAGTCGTATTCATGCACAACATAGGATACATCTCCCCGAATCGCAAAAGCAAATCATCATGTGAGAGAGCGATGAACGACAAGTGTCAAGCAGTCATGATCATCACACTAGCGCGCCCAACTTGTCGGTGAACAAAACGATACATCCTTGAATTACGTGCTGTGCTTTCGTTCTCCTCTCCTCCTCCTCAGCCATTTCCTGAACTTACTGTCTCTCCGAATCCTTCAGAATCCTGCACAAGCCATTCTAACTCGTTGTCCACTCAACCCGTTAATCCGAGACACTAATTCTCCAATGCACCTCGCAGGCCGCAGAGTAGAACCAATAATCTCCGTCTGGTATGGCTGCTGCAGCACATCACATCCGAATTTCGGCAAACGAATCGCGGAGCTCGGCAACATTTATAGAACAGATTGAACATCACTTGCAGTCACTGTACCAAAATCCAGTCGTGTACACGTACAGCTTCTCAAAGCAAATCGAGCGTCACTTTTTTGTTGATGAAAGATACCTGATGGGTATCTATCGTATTGATTAACGCCATGCGTGCACATGCCGTTTCAACAACTTCCTTCCAGATGTCAGCATCGTTTCCCAGCCCAGATTCCTTCCCACCACGCCTCGCATTTCTCCGGGGTTCCGGAACGGCTTTCTTGGAGCCGTTGTGAGGGAAAAAAAAACTTCCAAACAAGATCGTTACGTGTCAACCTCTCTCTCTCTCTGTCTGTTCCGTCCAACCTCTCGACAGCAATCATCATGTTCTTGCCACCATTGTTCCTGCCATTCTGCAAATTTCAAAAAAAGGCAAAAAAGTCATGCGAGCTGCATGTATGATACGGCCGCGCATGCACTGCTGCAGCCATCGAGGTCCACGAGTAACATGTTTTACCACCCTCCAAGAAGCTCCCAAGGTGCCGTCATCCTCGCAGCAAGCCACTACTGTACCTGCACGCAAAAACGTTCCAGAGGAAGGCGAGTAAGAATGGTGCTTGCGAAGTTTGCGCAGCATCCCGCAACATGTTCAACAATGAATGCACTCGATGGCCAACATCCAGTAAATGGCTGGCGAACTTGGAGCTCCATCAGCCAGCCGTTCGTGCTTATGATGAATCATTCTTCGCCCTCCACCACGCATCCCTGTGCGAAGAAGATCTTTGCAGCCTTGGTGCTGCTTTCGTTCGAAATGGCGTAGTTGTTACCTGCGATGAACGTGTTGCGTTAGCCCATAGCTCCCTACAGTCAGCCTGTCAAAGAACGAGTGCGGTGGGCGGGTGGTGAGGAGAAGTGGATCCACTCTCTGCTGCGAACTGATCGAAGCACGAAACTTGCCCAGTGTCGGATGCGCTGTAACGTTGCACAAGCAGCGGAGCAGACCCGGCCGCTTGACGATGGGGTGGAGGCGGTTCTGCCTCTCTCGCCGATAACGACAGGCATGATCGCGTCCGCTAGAGCCAGGACCAGCATGGTACTTTTGTGTTACGGTTCCTGACCCCCGGATCACCGTGAAATTGCCTCGTCATGTCAACAGGCGAGCGACAGTTCTGTTGCACCGCAGCGCTTGCTCGGGCCTTGCGTGCCGCGAGACTCCACCCTCGCCGCCACCGCGGTGTGCCACGTTGGGCAGCAGCTCGTGCGGTGCTATGGTACGACCAAGTGCTAATCTGACAGCGCTGGTCGTACCTACACCGCCACAGAGATGAGCAGAGTCTCGACAATGGCGCATCGCGCGGCCGAACTGGCTGGCTGCAGATTCGACGGTTTGAAACAACGCTATTGTAGCATTGTTCTTGCGGTGAGTTCACCGCCTTCCGAGTGCTCGAGCAGCTATGCCAGCCATGTTCACCATCGCCAAGGATGCAGAGCCATGGCGGGATATCGAGCTTGCTGCGATCATGCCGAAGCGGTGCCGAGTCGAAGCCAGACATTCTCCGGGGAAGTGTATTGCGGGCTTGCGGGGAGGCATGGGCAGAAGTCTGTGCAGATGCAGGTAAAACAGGAAGAAGGGAGAGAAGCTTACCTCGAGGCACGATCCAAACACCACCCTTGCTCAGCGCAAACTGGTTGACCTCTATGCCTGTAGCGCCAACCTCGACCATAACCTTGCCCGAGTGGACAAAAAACACCATCTGCATCTTGCGACTGTTCTTCGCGCGTTTATAGCCCTCAGGTGGTAACTCCACGACGCCAGCGCCGAAGAACGGTATAGTCATGATCTTGGCATACTTGAATTCACTCCCGGCCACGTCACGGGTGACGATAGATGCAGCGGCAAATCCAAGATCTGTACGCAGTGTCAGTCATGTTTGTCTCAGCGTGACCGGGAAGAAATCGAAAACTCTTACCTTCTTGTATGGGATCATTGGGGTCGCCCATCTTCAAGTCTGGGTTCCAATTCGCGACATTGCCAGTGATCACGCCCATCGCCTCTTCCCACTCATCAGGCACTGTGGACTCCGTCTCGCTTTCCTCGCCAATATCTCGTAGGCGATTCTTGTGCCTTCGAGATTTCTTCCTGCGTCTCGTCTTGGGTCTTGACTGGTCAACGTGCTCAGCTCGAATGATACCTTCAATCTCGCCGTCTTTCCAAATCAGTGACTCGTTCTCCCAGTACTTCAAAGGCTTAATGAGGTTACGACCGAACCGAGACGCGTTCTGCCCAGCATCTTCAAAGGGTGTGGTCGCTCGAAGGGTCACGTTGCTGACAGGTCCAAGGCTGCCGCCTCGTCCGCGAAGCTTAGAGGGTGATTCATTGAGCTTGATGGGGCTCCCATTAGGCATCGCTTGCGATGGCGTTTTCTCCTTGGTCGCTGCAGCCTTGCCTTTCTTGCTTCCTTTAGGCCGTCCTTTCGATTTCTTTGAAGGTTCAGGTTCGACTTCTACATCCAGCTGGGAATTCAGTTGCGCCTCCATGTCCATGTCGGGGAGCGGTCCATCGTCGTCCGCGCCGTTGACCAGAATCGATGGGTCGACTGAATCTTCAGCATCCAAAGGCGCTGTAGCTTCCTGGTTCGAATTTCGTTTCTTCTTTCTCGAAAGACCTGCTCGTTCTTCCCCAGTAGTATCAGCAAGTCGACTATGCTCAAGGCTGGCTCTCGTTCGCTTCCTGCCATTTGTTGAAGTTGAGTCTAACCCAGAAGGTTCATCCTGTATCTGGCTCGTATTTGGCTGATCGGATCTCCGAGGCCTGCCGCGCTTTCGCTTCGCTGGAGCTGGAGCTTCGGCCTGATCAATGCTAACACCAGATTGATCTCCACCGATAGACTCAGGCTCGCCGTCATCCAATGTCATGGGTCCATTGTCTTCAATCGATTCCTCAACATCTTCGTCTTCGTCGATCATATTGTTTGTATACTCAATCGATGTCTTCGCCACATCTTCTTCATCTTCGGGGTGGTCGTATATGTCTGGTCGGGGATGTCCAGTCGATCGTCTCAAAGTATGCTTTGGCAAAAAGGGGCTCTGCGTGTCAACCATGCGTAGGCTCTTCCGATCTTTGTTAACCCGTCCAAAGTCAAGTTTACGGTTGGCTGGAGGTTGCGCATGTGCGCCAGGAGAGCTCACTGGCTCTTCCGATCCAGGCGGACGGGAAACAGGACGCGCAGAACTTTGCCTTCTCGGAGAACCGCCTATGCTAGTATGCTTGGGAGTGGCTTGTCGTGGTGGAGGCAGTCGAGGTGTCTTGCGGCTCGTAAGCGTCGCTGTTACGTCTGGCGCAGAGCCTGAATTGTGATTCAGGTCAGCATGTCATCGCGTACACACCAAATATATCCTCCCGGCCATACCTTCTTGCATGTCCATACTATCGCTCGTGAGCGTCTTGCCGGCATTCTCCTCTGCGGGCGAAGAGAAGATTCCGGATACTGGCTCGAGTCCATGTTCGTCCCGAATGCCCGTGTCTTTGAGTGTGATTCCAGTCTTTCTGTACGTTTCTCAGCATTCAATCTCTTCATCCTCGAGATACCGCATTTGCGCCTACCGTCCAACTTTGCCCACATCGAAGTACTGCTGGTCTGACTTCTTGCGCCTTCCCGGCGTCGTACTTTTCGCAGGCGGTGCCATCGCGCGAGGCGGCCTATTCTCTTTTCCCTTCGCCAGCTTTCAAGGTGAACAGTTCCGATGCGCTGTGTTGTGTCGTTTCCTACACTTCTATGCGCGATTGTGACGCGACTTGGTGGAGATCTCGTGTCGATGTTTACCTTTGCGGGAACTCCCGTCTGCACCTTCCCTTTCCGCGCGACCCTGCTTTGTCTTTTGCCTTGGCAACGGTTAATCAACATCACTTTCACACTACCACTACATGTATAATAACGATACAGCCCCCTTGCTGCATTTTGCGAATCAATGCGAATTGAGAGTACCACATCTTGTCATCAATTTTGAAGATTTGTCCAGCCAGGCTATATGCCGTACCTACTGAGGAGCGTACTGTGAAATGCCAATCGGACGCCAACGCTGCCGACAATGAACATTCAATTACGACTCCGACTCCGTTTCGCGCTGACCAGTATGCTTGATGCAGCCATCCGAGTCTCCCCGCAATCTGAGTGTGAACAGATTTCTCAAGCAGCACATCCTCGTCTCCACCGTTGTCATCATCTCCGTTCAAGACGTCTAATCTGCTAGTGGCTCCTGCTTCACCTTCACCTCTCTGTGCTCGATAGGTGTATTGCTAGAATATTCCTTCGAGGTCTTACCGCTGACATGTTCAATGGAATCCTGGACTGCTGATGTAGCAATGGGAGCTGTTTTCCAAGCCTCATTCTGACGCGGGTGCAGTCTTGCGCACATTGGGTCACTGCAAGACTCTCCCAGCTTACATTCCTCATAGTTGCAATCGGCCTCACGACGGAAGCAGGGCAGGCACTTCTTCAGACCATCGCAGTGGGTTTTCGAGACCCAGCAGAGGCGACAAGTAGGAACGGGACGAACGAAGTCGCGAGACAGCTCTCGACGACGCTTCTGCGGCCTGTGCGTGAAACAATGACCAGGCGGCGGTGTTGTTGGAGCGTGAGGCGTTTCCCTTTGGGCGGTA